TTTTTTTTTTTTTTTTTTGCCGCTCAATAACGCCTGTATAACTACACGCTGATATGGGAAGATAAGAAAGAATTGTTTAATGTTTTAAAATTTTCTCTGCCTGTGAAATTATGTTATGACCCCTGAAAGTGGCAAAAAGACAGTTGTTAATGGTTTCTCAGCATGAATGACATTGGGATTCTTGCTGAAATACGCCCATGGCTCCAACGTGTTCGATGCCCCTTCTTATCAGCTGAGAAATGTCTCAGGTCAGGGACGTTTGTAGGGTACGAGTTAATTAGTGATTGTTCTAGCCCGCGTGACTGACCTGCGATGTTTATGCAGTTTTGAAAGGCGTTTTGAAGGCGATGTTTATGCAGTTTTATTTTGCAATGCCCTGGCACAAGTTTCAAGGGCCTGTGCATGTGGAAACAATGTGGCCGAGCTGTAAAGGCAGGCGTGCAGGCGCGGTGCTGAGGGCAGGGGCAAAACTCAGAAGATCAGCGTCTCTTTCAAGGGCTTCCTTTGTTTTGCTTTTTCAACAGCCCCTTAAAATGTGTGTTGCATATTGTGAACAGCAGAAGGAGATTTGGGTTCGCACAAACGGATGACTGACATTTTGCTGTGTGGCTAAAGAGGTTGGTAGCTCAGACAAGGGACTTCTATATCCTTTGTAAAGCAGCATTGTGTCCCCTTCCCCAAAACTGCGCCCTAAAACATAAAAGGGAAAAACAAAAAGAGTGCTGTCCCTACTCTGGCTACTTCTTTTGTGTAAGTTTTCCGTCATTTAAGCCATAGTGCCAGTGCTCTGTGAGTCTAACTGGGTCTGCCATTTTTATTTGACATAGGAAGGGTTGGGAAGAAAGGTTTCGCTTATGCAGTTTCAGTCCTAATTGTGCTGTTCTGCTGTCATCTTGGACATTCATGTCGGTGGGTCAGCGGCTGCCCAGAGAGCTGGAAAAGGTTACTGCTAATAGTCCTTCCTTGTTTCATTTTTGTTTTTAATGATAGTATAAAATTGGATGACCTCGTACTGGTCAAGGACTTAGGTTCTCACTTCAAGAACAGGTTTTTCGGCCTGTTAGTTTGTAGAGTCTTTGTATTCTAGTTGACTTTAAAATTCTAACCCCCTTTTGCCCTTACTAGTCTTTATGCATTATTCTAATTTTAAGTGGTGTTTAGTTTGCAAAATTAGATTATCTAGGAGCACTAAGAAGCATCTTTTTTAATAAGAGAGTACACATGTATCTGCCTAAAATGTCCAATTTTTTACAGCACCATCTGTAAAAATTTGCAAGCTAATCTGGTATTATTAGGATAATGATTTCACACATAAAAAAATCATCAATTCATAAGCAATCTAAGGCTTGGGAGGAATGAGATAAATTGAAAGGATTATGTATATGTAAGGTGCTCATGTTGCTTTGGTCACCATGTTTAACTTAGAACTGAAAAAGCCTGTGAGTGAATGGGTGTGAAGCATGTGGTGTGTTTTGTGCCTAGGATGTGGTTACTTTGGCAATTGAGGTGGGCTACATAAATCTGTACACTTCTCAAGTTCTTCAGTGTTGGTGAATTTGCTTACTATTTTTGTGACTGAGTTAAAGTTACAAGGTTGTGTTTTTTAGGTGGTTGGTTGTTAGACTATATCCCGGCCTTTTATAGGTAATTGGCAAGCGCTTAGTCACTCACTTTCACTCATAAGCATATTTATTAATACGTTCCTTGATCGAGTTTTCAGGGTAGTAAAGTAATAAGACCACAAGGTCTGTCAAAATGTGTTCAGCAAGCTTTGTTCCATCAACCACTAGTGGTTCTTGAAGGTGACCCTTTACAGAAATCGAAGCAGACAGCCCCCAGAGCACCACAGTCCTGACCCAGCTACCTGAGGGACAGGAGTGTATGGTCATCCCAGTGGACAGCACTTGCAGGGAGGTGTCCATCTCCATTCCCACATTGTCAGTGGCAAGACCACCAGATGCACAGCTTCCTGTGGCAGGAAATTTTATAACTACTGAGTTTCCAGGTCACCTGGGAAGCATCGCTTTCTGATTCTCCCCCTCCTCCCACGTGGCAGTGAAAAGAAGGGCTAAATTTCCACGATTTGGGAGTGTTCTTCCAACTGTTCCAGCTCTTCGATGGCTCCATGGCTTTTCAATCCTTTAGTACAACTCACAGTTTTACTAAATTATGCATGTAATGTTTACAAATATCAAGAGTAACCTTCAGAGTTATTGCATGTGAAAGGATTATATAGATGCTAATTGGGAAGCTCTGAATAAAGTGTTCAGAGAGATTCACATCCCTAGCAGTCTGAGCAGACAGCAAACCTACCCACTACTAGTTCAGCACAAACAGTCCTGTTTTGACTCATGCTGGAATGCTGCCTGCCCTAACTTATATTCAAATAAGAAGACTAGAGAGCTACTATATAGTGGTTACATTCTTACATTTTTCTTCCTATGTTTTATTGACATGTTCTGAATAACTTCTAAATTGGGCCCTTCAGTCTCTTTGCTTTTGAGGTACAGATAGATAATCTATACTTTAAGTACTTTTGGCCCTTGTGGTTCATGGGGCCCCTCAGCTCTTGAGCTGATGGAATACTGGGGATATCAGGTGCAGGAGAACCCGAGAATGCTGTCATCGCTAATGCTGCTATGTTCACATGTCCTTGGGTTTGGATCTGTTTGCAATTTTCATGAATTTTAAAAATAGATGTACTATAAATTACCATCCTTGGGCTTCTCCCACAATTCTGACTTGCCACAGGTCTAAGAAATGCTTAGAGTGAGTTAACTGCTGTCTTGGGTATGGAACTCCAGGACGGGAAGCCTAAAGCATTCACATGAATGGTGTCAACTCACAAAAGCTGTAGTTTAAAGCCAGCTGCACTTGGCGGGATTTTTCTGTATGTGTGTGCCAGTAGATTTGAGTATTGGCAGCTGTTTCTTCTGAGTTGCTGTCGTCTTCTGTTATCACGGTTTCTGTGCTTCTGTAAAATAATAAGGCCAACTTTTCATAAATTGGCAACAAATGGAGCCATGTAGGCTGTGGTAGATCCTTGGAATAGCTTTGTATACGGCACTTGGCCTTTTCTCCTTCACTCATCACTTTAACCCCAAGAATAGCTTAATGGAGTTTGTACACAAGAGGGTCTAATATACTTTATTCTTAGAAAAGTTCTCAATTTTACAAATAACTGCCACTCTGTGGGCTAATTGTTCTTTTGTAACAAATGTTTACTGACTTCCCCTGCCAGTTCCTTCCTTCCTTTCCTTCCTCCTTGTCTGCCTAAATTCTGTGTTCTTTTTTTACGTTTACCAATTTCCTGGTTCTGCATTCAGATTAATGCGAGGATGAGACGCAGTATGTTCCCACGAGGCAGACTCAGTCTATCGGGGTTTACAAAGATCCTTTATTATCCATCAGTAGATGTCAGTTTTCCCATAATTTAAAGGTCCCCATCTAAATAAGATCATCTAGTTTCTAACTCCCTCATTTTAAAGAAGAATCTGAGGCCCATAACAATTAAGCAAGCTCACAAAACTGTGAGTTGCAGAAACAGCTCATGTTGGGTATTGCATGTTGAATGCAAAGACATGGGGCAAGGTCAGCTGACTTGCTACATTGCTGCCTTTATGTAGAGCAGAACACTGGGATGTCACCCTGAAGTCCCACAGATGCAATTTTCTACATACCTAAATGGAGCACAACTTTAAAAGGTGATTTCCCCAATAATAACATATGCATGACTTTTTTTTGGGGGGGGGGATTCATTGAGGGTACAAAGAACCAGGATGTGCGTAACTTTTTTAAAAACATAACTGCCAAACCAATGAGATGTTTGGGCTTTTTTAGTGAGCATCTATTACATATGAAAAATAAAACTATTAGGATGTTGGTTGGAGGCTGTGGAGCCTAGAGCAGGCGATAGGAGGCAGCCTGAGGGGTGATTGTGGTCCGGTCCAGGGCACACCTGGCACCTGGATGACACACAGCATCCTTCTGTGGTTTGTACCTCTCTTCTGCGGATGGGCTGAGGAGGTGCACAGGCTTCACTTCCTTACTCGCCCTTTCCTTTGCTCCCCACAGCAGCCCACAGATTCCTCTATGCCCAGGTTCACTGTACCCAGAAACATTTTCTCTTTGGCTTTGTTACTGTCGTCAGTGTTAACCTTCCATCCATTCGTCAGATATTTATTGGACATTTAGTCTATGCTACTCCTGTTGCAGGTGTGGGGGTTATGGCCCCAAACACAGTGGGAAGGCTTTGAGTGAAATTTACACTAGAGATAGACGTGTGATAAGTGATTAAGGTAATTTCAAATATTGCCAAGTATGTGACAATAAGACCAGATACGCTTAGGGAGAGATTTCAGGTAGCAAACTTTAGACTGGTAATCAGGAGATTTTTTTTTTTCTGGGGGAGGTCTCATGTGAACCAAGTCACCAATGATTAGTAGCCAGCCGGGTTTAGCTCAGGCCAATGGAGGAAGAAATTGAGGAAAGACAGTCTTCAGGATCGTACTTAAATCAGGTTAAGTTAGTGCTACAAAGCCACACTGCATGTTTTTTTCTTTCAGGACTTAATCCTAAATATGTGTGCTTTCTCAAAGTCGGAGTCCAATGGGCGAGCGTGGGGAGGTGCTTGAGGACAGGGCTGGAGGCCAGCAATTTTCAAGTTGAGCAGACCTGGGTCTAGCCCCGTCTCACATACTGGCTACCTAAATATCTGTAGACCAGTCACTTAACTGCTGTAAACCTCAGTTTCCCCATTCGTTAGAACTCATGGGGTTATGGCGAGTATTAAAGAAGTTATGTTTGAAAATTGAATTAGTGCTAAAATAGTGGTGATGGTTGTTAAATTCTCTGAGAGGCATCAGTAATACTCCCCTGAATGTTAAAATATTTGCTCCTGATGGCAATGAAAGCCCACGAGGACTATTGGCAACCTCACTCGTTTATTCAACAAACCCCTTTTGAATGTCCACTCTGTCCACGCTCGATTCCGGGTGAAGAGCAGGACCTAGGACACGCTCTGCACTCACACCACCACCAGTCCACACTCAGTTAACAGTCTGTAAATGAATTGCATTCAGTGAGATTGGTCACAGAGCAGAGGAGGGGGCCATGGGCTGTGCAGGGGGGGCGTGGCTGGGAATTCTGAGCTGAGCAGACCAGCGGGGAGGCACGAGGGCCAGGCAGTGGTAATAGGTGACCACTAGACCAATAGACTTTTGGCTAAGGCAAGGTGGGATGTGAGAATGGAGAAGTTGGCATGAAAGTTTTTTCTATGTCCCGTAAAGAATGAGGAAGCTTTGAATAGTTTTAAACATTCTGTTTTATGGTCTGAGATTACTGGCAGTTTAAATGGTGGAAACCGTATCTGTCATTGGAGGGAACAATATCCAAGGCAGCTGGAATTCTTTGTCATCATCTTCCTCTTCCTCTTCATTTACAGCAGGCAGGCCTTTTCATAACCACCGCAGTACATTTAAGTCACATCTTATTCTTGATGCTTTGGTTCCCAAGTCAGCATCTAGAGAAAACCTTGTAAAACTTTCTTGAAAATAATCCCTTAGGAAGGCATAGCTTTGGAGATCATCCTCTCTCATTAAGTCTGAACACTGTGTTT